GGGGAGGGGGAGAGGCCCCTCGTCTTTCGCAGAGTCATGCAATGACAATACTTGATTGCCGGCGACACGCCAGGCCACCGTCCAACGGTGGTTCGGGCCAAGTTTAATTACTTTCTTACGTGCAGCGCGCATCTGTGCGCTGTTGTGGGTGTTTTTCTGTGGGCTGCTTTTAGGCGCCTCTTAAAGAGCCCAACTATGGCCCACCCCCCCGCATGATATACATACATAGGTACTTTTTCTTTCCGTTTTGTCGGCAAAGAAAGAAAAAATTTGATTTAAGCCAGACGCCCAGGAGCCCTGCCTTCCAGCCCATCTTGCCCGAAGGAATTCGAAGCCTGCACAAAAGTGAAAATTATCGCCGTGCGGCGGAGGCGGCGGAGGCGGCGGCGGCGGCAGGAGGACGCTCAGATGTGCAGATGAAAGTGCCTTGTGCTCAAGCAGTCTCGCTGCCTTCTAGTGTTTGCCTGGCTTATTCAACTTTGCCTCAACTCGGGTCCAAAAGGAAATAAAAATCCCCGAAACAAGTGTCTATGTGAGGCCGGGCTTCGGACGCAGGACGGGGGCTGGGACGTAGGCTGGGCGGCGGCTCCTTTAGGCGTCTGCGAATCTCGAAAATGTGCACAGACTCCGCTTTAGCCGCTCAGCCGTTCATCCGTTTCCGCCCGCTTATCCAGGACGGCCCCCCCCCCCCCCCCCCCCCCCCCTCCTCCGAGCACCCCCTACTCCCAGCGACGATGTCTGGCAAGGCGATTTAGCAAATTAAAAGGTTTTTAATGCATGGAGTGCTCTCTTACTTATTTCATAATTTGATGCCGACTGTGCCATGCAAATGCCGAAATACGGGAATACGGCTGAATCCACGGGACCGGGCAGGCATCCGGCTGTGCATCAGAGCTGTCTTTTATTTTTCTCAAAAAGTTTTTGGTGTTTTTTTAGAGTTTCTTTTCTTATAGAAGGGTTTCCGTGCCCCCCCCTTGCCTGGGACTGTGACTGAGCCTTGTTTAATTTCCTTTTCGTAGGTGAAAAATATATGCATTCACAGGATCCCAGGCTCCAAGGCTCCCAGGATATGGGAAATTGGTTTTTTTAATTGAAATAATAATTTATTTGCTGGAAAATCGATGGCACCTTTAAGGAAACGCATGCCGTTCTTTAATTCAAGATTACTTGCAGATTAGCCACACACACCCCCCCCCACCCATTCCAACCTTCTGAATCCGCCGAAATCTTAATGAGGAAATCTATCCAGAAGTCTCTTGAAAACCCCCTTGAAAACGCCACCGCAAATCACACACTTGACTGGGACGTTCCACGGGTCTGGGGAAATGGAAAATCGCAACATTTTTTCGCGAGCACCAATCCCCCCCCCCCCCCCAACACCACCCCCGGCGAGTGTCACGTGTCCCTGTCGAGTGTTTTCTTCTGGAAAATTTCGCCAGTGAGAAAATTTGGCAAGTGGCTTGCGGGCGTTACACCCCTCTTCCCTCCCCCCCTTCCGCCTCCGCCCCCTTTGCAAATTTTGGGTTATTGGGTTTGGTATTTTGTGTACTTTTGCGGGTTCCGGCACAAGTGGCGGCGAGGCTTATGAATGTTCGGCGTGTTTCGGCTAAGAAGTTGAGAAATTAAACAGCCCGCGTGAATGCAATAAATGACAGCTCAAAATTTTGATAAATGTCAACGCGTGTGCGTTGCCAGAGCCAGATCCAGAGCATGGGGTGGTGGGGTGGTAATGATTTGATTGTTGGGGGAAATGGCAACAAGCCTTCGGCTTTTTAAGGTGATTTAGGGGCGGCAGTTTGTGCAAATTAAGCCAATTTAAAAAAGACATTTGCCTGCAGGAACATCGAAATCCAGACCGTACAGCAGAGGCACTCTTTACAGGCATGTGTGCACCCTGCCCTCCAGCCAATCTTCACCTGGAAGGGAGCTCAAAAAGTGCCATCATAAATAACCCACATCTTGGGGTAAATGCACAAAGTCCAAAGATATCCCAACTATGCAATGCTCGGCAAATGAATTTGGAAAAATAATTTCCTGGGGCCGCCCACAGGCTCCAAGAAGCAACTAAAAATTCCTCAAGAAACAAATACCAGAAATAATAATAATAATAATAGTGTTTTGTGCACAAACCCTGGGCAGAGCCCGGCCCTCTCCCACTTCGAGATTTCGGACCTGGTCTTTGTTTATGAAGCAGTAATATTGAAATCAGGATAATTGTGCAAGAGGATGTGAAGAAAGAACCGCAAATACTCCGAGTCCAACGGAAGAGCAACCCACCAGGCAGCCAGGCAGCCAGGGAGCCAGCCCCAAGTATTCATTCATTCCGTAACGAAGATATCTTGAGAGCAATTTTAATGCGACAAAAACTGAAAAAGGAGAACGAGTGGGCGCGGGCTGAGGGGGGAACCAAGTGAATGGTCAGGACTGAAGTAGAGTGAAAAACGCTGCCAAGCAGAAAGTGGTCAACAATTTTGCCACTGCCATGGGCAGGAATAAAAGACGTCGACCGACCATCCACTACCATCCGAATGCAGCAAAAAGGTAGCAATCATGGTGCCGAGTAGTCGCCTCCGTCCAGCCTCCGTCCCGTAGCTTCTGTCCAGATCTTAGGGCAATAAACCATAAGATGATGCTCTTCAGTGCATATACTCGTAAATGTGGCAGTGAAAGCCAAATTAAGAAAGAAATAAAACGAGTTTGAGTGGGGGTTTACAAGTCTCGGGAAAACTAGTCCAGTCGATGCCATTTACAGGTTTCTGAAAGGAGGGAGGACAACCCTTCGGTCGGGCCTTGAGTGTGAAAAATTGAACAACAAAAATTGCATTATTTTTCGCATTTGCCGAAGCTCCTTCTAACCCCATAGCAGATTGGCATTCACAAAGGTCCTGCTGTCGTCGAGCGCATCTCAAAGGACCTTCTTTCATAATTAATGCTCACACAGAGAAATGTTCAAAGATATTTTTGCAACCCCCTTCCGCACTCCCCCACAGTTCATGTACCTTTCAAAATCTGCTGTCAAAAGCAGCCCGAAACAAAAACAAAAACAAAATGCTAAATGCGGTGAAAAATCAAAAAGGAAAATGCGCAAAAATAAAACATGTTTACCTCAACAATTTGACTGCTACTTTTTCTTTTCTATTCTATTCTTTTTTTTTGGGGGGAAACGGATGGATGGATATGCAAATTTTTGGCTTGCATTTCGGGGGCCCGTTTCCCCGTTTCCCCATTTGGCAGGACGGAGTGGCTCTGCTGCTGCTGCTGCTCTGCCCTCTGCCTGCTGCCTGCTGCTGGTGCCATGATTTATTTACTCACGGCGTGCGCGTATTTATCAAACTCTAATTAATCGGTGATAAACCGATCAAGACGCTAAATGCTGGACTACACGAAGCCGCCGAAGACCCAGCAGCTCCCAGGGGACTGGCCTGCAAACGGGTTTTCGCAAACACCTCTTCCTCTACCCCAAAAGTTGGCTTTTCTTCGATTGCTTTTTGGGTTTCTGTTTCGTAGTGTTCCGCCGATTACCATGTGATTTCCTCCTCCACCTCCTCCTCCCGTCAACGGCCCCCCTTCGACCCATCGCTCTGCCGAAGAACGAGTACTCGTATTTGTTGAAGCAATTTGCTTTTCTGAATCTTCTGGCTGGCTGACCAGGCGACTGCGATGCAATCAATATATGCTCGTGTCCAGCAAATAATAGACTTCAAACTGGCATTTTAAGCGTTTCTATTTCTCTCCCCCCTCTCTGCCCCTCCAGCCGAATGTGAGCGGGTCTCCGAGGAGTGCAGCTCTCTCCCAAACACCGTACAGGGTCCCAGGTGCCTGTACCACCTGCCTGTTCGGCCCCACGAGCCGTGCAACACCCTGTATATGCCGCTAATCCACTTTAGCAAATCAATTTATTAGCCACGTATGACTTATGCCTTTTTAAATGTGCGCTTGCATGTGTTGTCTGCTCTAAAGTTGAGCGTTTGCAGCATTTGGAGGCTGGCCAGCCCTCTGTCTGGCAGACGGAAGGTCAGCAAGGGGCAGGCCCGGGCTGGGGTGGCAGCCCAACTGAGGAGGCGCAAGAAATTTATGTTAACATGGTCTGCGTAGCGCCCTCTGGTATGTAATTTGGCGTTGTTTAGGTATCACGATTACCCTTTGCTGGCCATAAAATACGAGTGTGCATGTGGGCAATGCCACGGATACGGTGCTCGGGTGTAAGCCATGATTATCGCGGCCAGGCCATCAATGATATGTGTGCGAGGAGCTTCAGAGCGGAGGAGACCGTTTAGAGTCGACTCCGAGCGTGTGAAATGGGCATGGGGCATGGGGCAGGTCTGGTATTGTATTTATTTATGGCCTCCCCCCGAAAGAATATCAATTGCCCGGCCAGGCGCCACTTGTTGCCAAAAAAGAAGAGGGGGCTGCGGGGGGCATGGAGAAACTGTTGCAACTTTTGGGTGCAAGCATCTACCCGCATATAAACGTTGAGTATAAATTGAAAAAGCCATTTTGCTGCCAATTTAGCAAACACTTAAACCAATTTTGCACTTCAATCCACACAAAAAACTCCCACAGCTCCACAGCATCGCTCCGCCGAAGCCACACATTTGCACATCCCAGAGCACAGAGCCCAGAACCCGGACGGAGAACTGACAGTCCGTGCCGTGAAGGCTTGCATCGATGCGGACGCGAGGATGAGCCAGAAGTCGGAATGTGTCGGAAGCGTTCAAAGCGTTGCCAACAAAGTGTGAAAATGTCAAGTCGTAAAGTGTTCACAGGCCAGGACCCGGACACGGACGGAGTCTGTAAAATGGAGTACATTTGGGGGGGGCGGGGCAAGAGTCCTTATCTGGCCAGAGAGTTTCCATTTAATAGTTTACTTTGGGAGCAGCAGTGGGGTGGCGGGGGGCACCGTCTAAACGCTGCCAAGTCTGTCAAGTGCTGGGTGTCCCCCCCACTGTATCTAGTTACCTGATCAGACCCCTTCAAATCTGCCACAGACCCTACAACTGGCCCCCAAATATGTCCTGTATTTGCCAATATTTTGCGCCTGTCTCGGACAGCGGCGTGGATCAAGTGGAGGCCTTTCCCTTGGCCACTGACGAGGAAGGCCCCAGCCCGGAGAACACCAACAAAGAGTGAGCTTAACTGTGATTTCCGAACCGAGTGTTATGTGATGTCTCTCAGGGCGGACCAGGAGACTGCGGAGAGGACAGTGTCGGCCTCTGACCTGGCCGACTGTCGGGCCGAGAACTGGCTCCTGAAGAAGAAGCTGGCCGACTATGAGGTCACCATCGAGAACCTCGAGCAGCTGGTGAGCATAATAGTGGACAAGCAGCACCGGATCCTCAGCGAAATGTTCCAGCTGAGCAAGGAAAACCGAGAGCTTCAGACCGAGTGTGATCTCCAGCGCGAATACCACTCGATGGAGCGAAACGCCTTGATGAAGCAGCTGCATGATGTTCAGACCTTATCGCGAAACCGCAGCTTGGAATTGGTAAGCCATGGGTGCCAATTGGCCAGGAGAATTGTTCACTTTGTCGCCCTTTTTTTATAGAGGCGTGCTGCATTGGAGGAGGGTGCCAAGGTCCACGTGGAGGCTGCAAAAGAGTCTAGTGCCTCAGAGGAAGAGGGCTCCACTGGGGAGGAGGAGGAGGAGGAGGAGGAGGAGGAGGATACTGACGATGACCGGGAGAGTGTCTATGACAGCTATGAAGACGAGGCCTCAGCCTCGAATTCCCGCAGCAGTTCTCCCGGCTCGGAATCGGGTGACACCGACTCGGAGGCAGATCGAAGTCTGGCCAGTGACAGCGAACGCGAGAGCGACAGCGATAGCGATTGAACAAAACATTAATTCTGATATATTTTCCATAAAGAAATTTCAATAAAAAACCTTAAAGACACCGTGGATTCCCGTTGGCGGTGTATTAACCGCATATTTAAGGGCCCGCAGGCGCTTTCTGACTTCATCGCACTCGCACTCGCACTCCCGAGCCTTTATTTGAACGCATTTAATAATCAACACAAAAACGTGACAATGGCTCAAAACAAACAAAAACGCTGAAGGTGCGTCAATCAGGGGCATCGCAGTGCAAAAAAGGGAACGCATCAAGTGAGAAAAATAGAAGGAAAACTCCGGCAAGTATTTGCATATCAAAATGCCAGTTGGGATGTGGAAAAACCTTTGCCGAAGCGCCCTTCAGGGCGGATGATTGAAGGGCTGACAGGGCGACAGGGAGGGGGGAGCCGAGGAGAAGCCTTTAAATCACTGGCAAAAACGTGTTAAGTATTTATCTATCGAAAAATTGTGGGGCTCCCACCATCCGGCAAAGAGGTAAGATGCGAGAGTGTGTGGTGTGGTGTGTGTGTGTGTGTGTGTGCGGTGTGTGGGGCAATTTATCAAGTGGCAAAGTTTTTAGCACAAATGAGTCGTGGCGCGGGTCCTGATCCTGGCCTCCGTTTGCCTCCAGGATTAATGAGTCTCGTGTGCTTCTGCTGCTGCCGGGGTACATCCTCGATATTCGCCCGGCAACACGTACCAATAATCCATCACCAGTCCAGCGACTGTGTTGCCACTGTGTGGCAGTGTGGCAGCTTTTGGTCCGCCTATGTGTGGAGTTCTTCGATTACTTAGCAGCAGTTTATGCCACCAAAATCCATCCCATCTTTGCCTAAACAAAAGTGCCACAAAAGTGGTGTCAAGCGGTACGTTCATGGCTGCTTCCTTGGCGATTCCTTGGCGATTCTTTGGCGATTATTAATGACCCCCCCAGCAGCGGGTGTATGCATATCGAGTCGGGAATTGTTTGCCATATCATTTATCAGCTGAGAATATTTGCTGCGAGACTTGTTGCGCACAAAAAAGTTTTTCGTGTCCACGTGGGAAACCAGCAGAGACGCAGAGACGCAGACGACGGCTACTGAGGACTACCGCAACACAAATGGCTCGGATAAGAGATGTGAAACCGAACAAGGCATGAAAGGAGCGCGCCACAGTTATGACTGAAATATATGAATACGCCACGGCGATGTGGCAAGCTAAACGCTGGGCAAATGGCATCATGAGAGGCGAGGCGATATCACGCTCCACCGGGAAAGGTGTTGCCCGGGTTGCCTGCAACAAGTAGCATCCAAATTGCATGTGGCTGGCCAATGGGTTAAGATCCCCAAGATTAATGGACCTCTGTTGGGCACGACATTGAAATATACTGGGGAGAGGCGGACACACGACACCGAAAGAGTTGCCAAGTGGCTGTCTCGGTGCACACGTGCTTCCGAGAAAACAACCCGCTTTTCTGGATCAACGCCTACCTATTTACTCGAGCGTATAAAAAAAAAAAAACCACAAAACATTGGCGGCAGAAAACTGCCAAAAACCCAATCGTTTCGATTCGCGTGTTCTAAGCAATTTCAAAGCAATAATCGTTGGGTGTCTTTTAAATTAACTAACCAGAGCCATGCAAGCCATGCAAATAATACTCGTAATAAGCCATATTGACAGGCCCGTCAACGATGATGTGTGCGATGGGGGGGGGACTAGTCGTTGTTTTATTTCCATTTAAATAATCTAAAATTAAAATCATTTTTCCGCCAGAAGCAACTCTGGCAGAACGATAGATGGACGGATTGATTGATGGATGAACGATGTATGGCGATTGATAGACATATACATACGCCCTCGCCCTCGCCCCCTCGCGTTCTCAGGGAATGACAAACCAACCAAATAAAATGCCAAAAAAAAACGCAAAGAAAACGCAATTAAACAAACACAGCGAGAGTTTTTTGGTTTTTTTTGGTTGGGATCTTTGGTTGGGAGGTATCCTTGGGCCGGGGATGTTTTCTACCCCTAATAAACAGTTTGATTTTAATCAATGAACCGCAAAGCCAAATACATGAAAATGCCATCCAATGACGGCCGACAGACAGTCCTACGTCTGTCCTTTCCTCTCTTAAGCCTCGTAAACCTTTTCCGGTTAGAACTTTCGTATTTGCTTAGACACGGCAACTATGTAAACAGCTCTCCCTGGGAGTACCGATCCATAAATACACGCTCACTTCTTCCAAAGGGGGTTCCTCATGCATATTTATGGCACTTAATTTGTTCGTTAAGCGAATGAAAGAATGAATGTATTCGAAGAGCATTCATTCATTCCACTCACTCTCAAGCGTTTTGTTTGAACCCCCCTTTTTTTTTTTTTTTGGTGTAATTAGAAGCCCTCCACCCACATGGGCTCCCCCCTGTGGCCCATGCATATTTATGAGTATGGATTTAATAAACATTTTCATTTATTTGTCTTGTTTGTCGCTTTGGGGCCAATCTAGTTCACTTGGGGCTCCCCCCTGGGCTCCAACAGCCACAACAGCCGACCAATCATGTTCGGGCCAACTATGCGGAAGTATCTCTCCTGGCCAACCTATAATCATAACCATATAGGAGCCAAAACACATGTTCCCCACCCCCCCGACGGGGAGAGAGAGAGGCAATTTCGAACAAGGCCAACACTGGATCATACCAATTTGAGCGGCTAGAACTATTTTCTAAATTAGGGAAAATAATATAGCACACCGGCAGCTCCATGCCGCATCGTGCTGCAACATGTGTTGCACCTAGAGTACCGCTACGATTACGATCGTTATCACCAAATCAGCGGCAGGGGTTAATAGAGCCGTACACCAGAGGCCACAGAGAGGGCCAACGATCGGTGGATGAGCAGCACACATTGGCCTCGAGTTGGGGCCCGTGTCAGCTGCGTCCGAGTTTGCCACATTATTTGCAGATCTCGCACCTTGGCTACCAGCAGAGCAGCAGAGCAGGAGCCTCACTTGACCACACTAATCCATCTTCTTGGCAAAATGTTGCGATAAAGCCGATCGCCAGATCGCCAGATCGCCAGATCGTTGCACTTCGATACTTCGATTATGGTTAAGTAGACAGCAGGCTACTTAACCTCCAGCTAAAGCGGTTGGCTTTGACGATCGGCGGGGAGGGAGAGGGGGGAAGAGGAGAGCTCTTTGGGGATTATCTTGTTTAGGCTGGGCGTCATTTCTTAGTAAATTACTTTAATAGTATAAACATAATCATTTGTATTGCGGCTGCTGCTCAGCCACCAGGCCCAGAGCCCGTGCCTTGGCAGGTTCTGGCCGGCTCTGGCTGGCTCTGGCTGGCTCCGACTGGCTCTGGTAGTAATCTCTTTCTAGTTAGGACGATGCGATTGATCGGCTCGAATCACAGTTATCTGTGTAACAGTGAAAAATTGAAAATTGTACATGTGCGATCCTCGGGATGCTCACAGTTTAATGGCTCCCGTCTTGCCACTCTGTCCGCGTCCGTCCGCACTCGGCGAGGCCCGGAGGTGAACTGAGTTAAACCCCGGCAAACGATCGACAAACTCGCGAAGGGAAAACGCAGCTGTCACGGGTGAAAGGGTCCCCTAATTTAAATATTTAATCAAACTAATTTGCATACGCAGCAGGGTCATGTTTACCTGATCGCCAGACAAAGAGATGTCGGGCAGATCGGGCACAAAAGAGGGATCAATGGGATACAGCTGGTTGGGATGTGGGATGCTGGCTCCTGGATGCTGGATGCTGTGTCGGATCTGGCCAAAGGGTTGATTTCCCGCCACAATCGCTCAAATAACCAAATCCTTCTGTGTTAAATTTTGTTTTCTTAGCGAATAAAAAATGCACACAAATTTGAATAAAACAGCATGGAAAATGTTGCAGAAAGCGACGAGAAACGGAACGAGCGAGGGAAAAGCGCGAAAACCACGAAAATTTTTGCATAATTTATTGAAATTTCGTGCCGCAGACAAAGGAGTCGACGGACGGAGCACCCGACTCTGAGTCCGAGTCGGAGTCCCGGCCATGAAATGTGTTTCTATTTTCTCGCTACTCTGCGGTGCTCCCCTCCCCACCACTCCATTCCTTGCTGCATTATCCTTTTTGGCTTGTGTGCATTTATTTTTCATTTGCATGAATTTTTCATTGTTTTCCCAGACACGAAAGGAGCGCTAGGATGCACTTAACGCTCCACAGGATCGGGGACAAACACGCGATATTTGTCAGCGGGAAATCAGCTTGAAAATCAAGTCGACTAGAGTTCTCTGTGGAGTCTGTGGACTCTGCAGGGATATAGACATTCATCCGAGGCAATGGCTGGAACCCAAGCCAATATTTTCGCTTCTCCATGCAGAAAAATCTACAGAATGCTCCAGATGCTGTGGCGGCCAAAATGTAAACAAACTTCGGTGCAATTTGTTGTCACTTGTTGGCGCTGCAGCGTCCTTGTGTGCACAAAGTTTAGCGGCTCTCCTTTGGATACCTATTAGGAGGGAAAAAAAGAGATGGAGAGTCACTAAGCGGATGGCCCAAGCATTAGGTAAAAGGCCAATCCATAGCTTGTGGGAGCTGGCCAAGGACTATATATCTATGGGGCAGGCTCGGCCATTTTCCAAACTCTCGGGGACTCTCGGGGGTGCGCCGTAGCCTTAGTTTTAATCGAAAGTTAAATCCTTTACACGAGTGTGTCCATGTCCTAACAACAACAATGGCAACGCATGCACACTCCACCCCCATCCCCAACCCCTAACGGGGAATTTGTCTAGGAGAGGGTGGCTGCCCCTGCCCCTGGCCCTGCCCCTGCTGCTGCTGTGGTGGTGGCAACTTGGCGTCGGTGGTTGCTAAATGCAATTTATCATAAAAAGGCAAAAAAAAAAGAGAAAGGAAAGATAGAAGCTTCAAGCTTGAAATTGAAGCGGGCGACCCCTTCGGAGGAGGAGGTGGGGGGCGCCAGTCAAAGTTCGCTGGGAAACAGTAGAGGTTTTTGGTGAGGGGGAAGCC